ATAATATGTATTGATTTTATATATATAATTGGTTTGTTTAAGTTTGATATGATTGTTTTGGTTTGATATGATTGTTTTGATATGGTTTGATTTGATATGATTGTTTTAATATGTTTTGGTTTGATATGATTGCTTTGATATGTTATGATTTTTTTGATATGTTTTGGTTTGATATAATCGTTTTGATATGTTTCGGTTTGATATGATCTTACTTGTGTGCACCGTGGATTGCTTGTTTCATATACCTATGTACTAGCATTATGAGCCGTATGCCAGGTTCGCTTAGCTTTGTATTGATTAATTGGGGTGTAACATATGTCAAATGATGTTGGCTAACATTTGCGTGAGGTCGTTGGACACTGGCAGGTGCTGATTTGGTAGTTGTAGTCTCGTTTTCACTTGAATTGGGAGATAAATTCAGTCAGTGCCGTTCTTGTAACATTTCCTTATGTGTCGCACAGTTGTCCAATCAGTGTATACGCGAAAATTCATGAAATGTTGAGCGATATCGAGATAAAATTACTTCTGGGTCATGAGACTCTAACATCCAGTACGCGTATCTGAAGTGAAATAGAACTCCTACTGACAGGCGACGAAATTATGGAGACGTTGGACCTAATGACATACATGGATCACGGATGGCCTGTGTGTGATGCGTGCGAGGCACTAGTCGAAGATGATATGACGGAAGGCAGAAAAGACAAGGGCATGTGGTGTAGTCAGTGCCAGAAGTACTTCTACCAACGCAACTCGGAGGTAGGTTTGGTTGTTGATACGTATGCATGTCCATATTCAATCGCATGTTTATATAACATATATATGTGTTATGTATACAGTAGCGTGGCCAATGTGTATATATATGTGTGCGTGTGTGTGTGTGTGTGTGTGTACACGTATGTGTGTGTGTGCGCTTGTATGTATGTATGTATATATAGATATATCTATATATATTAAAAATTGTACGTATGCGTGTGCGGATGCGTGTGCGTGTGCATGTGTGTGTATATGTGTATGCTTGTGTGTGTGTGACTATATATATATATATATAAATATACATGTATCTACTTTTTATATAGACATTTTGTATGTCCATCTCTGATTGTGTTTGGGTTTATTACGATGCAACACCTATTTTTCGTATTTAGCTTGTTAGACTACCGATCTGTATTCATTTTAAACTGGTCTACAAGCGCTACTAGTCTGTTTACCAAAGTGCTTGAGCGATTTAGCTCTCCTGCATTGTTACATACAATTTTTTCTATAAAAAAAAATTGGACTTTTGAGCTGGAGTATGCGTATAGTGCGTCGGGATTCTGTTGGAACTATGTATATGACTAGGTACATCAAGTGGAGTTATAGTGTTGAGATGTTTCTTAAGTTGATTTGGGATTGATAGTTTGATCCTTATTTTCGTATCATTTTATCGTCATTACGGTGTGTGCACTGTGTTGTTATATTGATGGATGTGCTTAGGTCTCGTGATTTGACTGAGTTGTCAGGAGTGAAACCATACCACAACAATTGTATACAATCCAATTTTTGAGTTCTGAATTTTATCACCATCTCACTTCTGTCAGGACGAAGAGTTTGAAGTTGCAATACCCTCGCGTACATTGCGAGCGACACACACGCATCAAGGCGTCAGTTACTTGCAGTTAGAACCGAATTTTATCTCGAGATACTTTTTCACCGCGAACGTGGTCGAACTATTGCTTGAAATTCATTCTAAAACACGAACGTGCACGAAGTATTTCGCCGAATCAACTAGGAAATTATAGAGTTTGTACTGTACCGTGTGTGCGAGTGTATGAAGCATTTGCTTGTTTAACAAAATTGTATTGCGTAAAGGCTACGGGGTAACGTATCGCCTCCAGTACTACATAACCGTGTCGTCAGATCTGCCAAATATCACACACTCGTTTTGTAATAACGTTGTTGAGTGGTTTCTTTTGCTTATTGCAAACGGGTATCAGGCAGTCATGGATTTGAATTTGTGACTATTTACATTGGCTGACAAAGTTGTACTTAAGAAAACATATCTCGTCGTGGATCCGAATCTCCCACCCGTGTATGCGAATTCGAGTACAGTCATCTTCAAATTAACTCATCCGAACAAAATCATCAGACCTCCAAGTTTGTTGTTTTAACTCGCATTTCTCTCAACTATACATACAATTCGACAGATCCCAAATATTTGTCTTGTAAACTGCTATGTACATACTTCCTATTTTACTCAAACACGGTTCAATTGCTCGTATACACACAGTTTCAACTGCATCTAGATAAGAACCGAATAATCTGGCTAAAAGCAATTAAGAATGCGCCCGCTAAATTTCAAAGGATCGACCCATGGGAGTGAATTGCTCCAGTGTATATTCCAAGCGTGAGCCACTTGGAAGTAATAGGTCGCAAGTTAAAGCAGTATAAATGCAACAAGTACGATTGATAGAATACCGCCGCAACAGAAATCAAATTCTATTGAAATTATTTTGGGGTGGAAGGCAGTTTAATTGGACTATCGTGTGCAATTTCACAAATAGCATCGTTTTATGTTCGATATCTATTTCGTGAGACAACAATGTGCACACACGGAAGTGCTCAAATGGATAATGTCACAAGAATAAAGACGTCATACAAGCGCGGAATAGAAATACTCCAGCACACCTGCATACAAGGCCTCAGTCTGTCAGAATGTTGTGCTTCATATTTCTCATCAAAAGAGAGATAGATCTATAAGACGTGCTCAAAATGTACCTTATTGCGTGCATGGACATATTTACGATCTCCAGACCAAGTGTTCATTTGGCTTTGTATCGCTCGCTAAAACGTATTTTACAAGCAATTCACCGTGAATGTGTCTATATTTTACCCCGGCTTTCGTAACATAGGTGTACTCGAAATCGGTACAAACTGTATTCGCCAGGCCCGCTATAAAAGATTTGTTATCTAAGGAAAGCAATTGTAAACTCAAAGAACTGAACAACAAATAGCGCACTATGCCCTCCACGATTGATCTGTAACGGCGATGTACACCGGTACTTGACGTTAGACCCCCGCTACTACGCCTAGCATTCTCGTACACCGCTGAATATGCCTAAAATCAAGACCTCCGGTATTAAACCCAACATTCCCGTACACCTCCGATATGCCTAAATACATAGCTTTCTCGAAACTGCCAATTAAGACCCAAATCTACCAAAATTCTCGCGAATGGTCCGCAAGCTACATCTGCCTTTATCCGGCTGTTCATTGTACTAATTATATATTACTACCAATCTATAGAGGAGGGTAATACGAGTCCATCGTGACCTTGAAATACATGATATGACAACTACAACAGCTTCCAGCCCACAATGTGTCACAGTTGACTGCGAGTTGACTATTTTTGCAAATAAAATAAAATTGCACTACGAATTTATTATGAATCGATGACACTGTGACTAAGCAGTGCCTACAAAATATAACACTATGAAAGTGATTACAACACATACATACACGTAACGTAGGTGGATGCACACACCCGTACTGCCCTATGAAACCTTGGCCAGATCAACACCATAGTAAATACAGTCTTACACAATATCAGGCGGACGTTGCTGAGTGGTTGAGTGCGGTAAAATGGCTGGGCCTGTATCACTCCATCGATACAGAGAAGATTGGTACCATACATTAGATGGGCGAACAAAGAACCATTAGCTGTTACTCTGCAGTGCACACTTTAAAGAGGGATGATATGATAGCCTGCAAGAAAGGCAGAGCACCTCGAACTGGCAATGTTCCGAAACTGAAGCTCCCAGAGCAAAGAAAAACTGTGGTAAGTATACCTACGAAATTCGTACATGCAAAGGTAAAGGGTAGTAGCAATGAGATGTTGAATGGCGTGAAACGTATCAGCATGAACAACAATGTAACAAAACTAAATGTATCACGGAAATCACTTGTGGAAAAATTAGGAAGGACGAATACGGAATGTTTGTTACTGCATGGTAAACAGATGCAAGCATCTAGAAAATCATCGAATGGTGAATCAGACATCGCGACATAGACGCGTAAAGCAACCAAAGGATCAGGTCACGCACAAGGCGACATAGAACTCGATAAATAGCACAAAGTGGCGGTTCTTGCGGGAAGAGTTCTGTTGACGCATAGGTAGTTTTGCAACCTGAGTGACAATGTTGCTAATTGTATAGATAATAGTCGCAATCGTGAAGGCTGATTGATGTATAGTAGCTCTGCAGACGCTGAATTGGTGTTTTCGAGATTAGTGTTCTTTCTAATATATATGCAACCACTAGTATAGACCGCCATCATAGTACACAGTGGAAGTTGGGTGGATAAAAATACAGGGAAGTTTAGTCTACCATATAGAACACCGTTGCCTGCACGTTCTAAGAGCATCAACAAATGTGTAGAATCACAAAAACTTATAGTGCACAAAAAGCAAAATCAAGTATTCACATTCTGGTCTGATGTAATAAGCATGAATCAAACAAAAGCTACAACAAGTGTTTGGGCGACACTAAATTGGCAATGGCAACATATACGACTTGATATCACTTTCATTGTATGCACCGCTGATAAAGTAGTGCGCGTGACGGAATGGGTTTCAGAAACAGCATTTATGCAAGATCCTCCAACGACAGAACACGACGACAACGCTTCGGTTGATGGTAAGCCAAATTCAGCAAAGAAACTACGCTTTTAACCTGTTTACGTGTGTATAATGCACAACGCTTACATTTATGCGTCACACCATGCAGAGAGCGATCAGGTGGGGAGCGGAGATTGGGAAAAGTAATAATGTTTTTAAGGCGAGATGAATAATGCTTTGGCGGGATTCTATAAGAGATATGAGAGACTACAGGTCTCAGGCCAGATTTGTCATCAGAGTTAGCTCACTCCCGAGAGCTACTCAAGATGCTTAAATTACTCCCAAGAGTTGAGTTATTACTTCCGACTTCCGAGAGCAGATTAAGTTTCTCAACCGATTCTCGAGAGTGGATTAAGCCTGTCAACCGCAACGTTCTAATAATAGCTGCGGTTCATGTGAGTCACGTCCTATGCGGAAAGGCATCATGTGATCAGCGTGAGATTTAGTTGCAGAGAAGTTGAAATAGAAAAGTATCGAAGTGTTAAAGTGTTCTGCATAAGGTTTCTAATACTTACCATATGAGTTTTTACCCTGGCCAGCCCAAGCAGCTGAACACTAGCACAAACACGTTAGGTATAGAACCAAAGGTGAGGTCAGAAATAAATACATACATTTGCACTTTATTTAAAGTCTACTACATTGCACTCTAACAAGATACACGCCATTCGGACTACATGAACGGATACCTGAAGAAATTGTACGAAACTTTGTGCAAATGTGGGAATGTGAATAAGCAATGAACGCGAACGTAGCCAGTGATGCGTGCCATCGTATAGAAATAAATTTGTTGGAAATGTGCTATTATATACATATTTTATCTACACGCACATATCCTTCGTTGTAACACGCATTCTGTGTGCGACTTAACCATGCGTCTACGTGTGTCTAATCCGTCTTTTTTCTTGTACAGGTCCGACTTCCTTGACTGGTTTCAATTCGCTAAGGCACGGGAACCTCATCTGTTTGAAAGCAAATATGTAGACGAGCTGACGGGAACTCTAAAAGGCATATTCTACAGAGACTATACGATGAGACAACCTTGGACACGCGACACGAGGGCAACAATAATCAGGGCTGACAATTGGCCATTATTGTAGGACCGGGAAATGATGGTAAGATCAAGCATTTTGGTGTCATGGTGTTCTACATGGAGACTGAAGCCATCTATAAGTTTGCTCTGGATAGTTTACAGAAATCGTTAGGCCAAGGGCCAGGGGAACCACTGAAGACGCGACTCGTGTTCGCTGACAAGTTCCTGAGTCAGGCTGATGTAAATCCAGGGCAGTTCTTCTCTCAGACAGATATCATGTGAAGATAAACATACACAAGAACTTGAAGAGTCTGTATTGTGGTAATCTCAAGGATGAGATTCTAAGCGCCCTACACGCAGGAACACAAGAAAGTGCAGATGCGCACTTTGAAGTTGTAATCCAGATACTACGGACGAGAGATGCAGACTCGGCTGCGAAATACATAACTAACCTCAAAAATATGTACAGACACCTTGCTGATTGGGGGCTTAACGAAAAACTGACTTTGGGACTCAAAGGTTCCCTGATGAGCTAGTCGACACATGCGTAAGTCGAAAGTTGGTTCATAATTTTGAGTCTGGATCCGCTTACCCTCATTAATGGCATTTTAGATATGTGCAGTCGGATTTTAGTAGCCTGCAGAGCGTGCAAAGCTGACAAGGTGAAATATACAATGGAGCTCATGGCAAGGATGATACTCCATATAAATCAGAACTACATCATATTGCTCAATGTCGACAATGGGAATCTTAAAGAATCACTGAGATGTTTATCGAAGAGGTCACCAAGTCTGCAGGATACAGAGTTTCGAACACGCCACTTCATGAAGAGGACAGTCCAGTATATTGTGTTGAATAAATTAATAATGATGAAGGACTCCAACGCTCTGTGAGATACAACGAAGATGATGATCGGTACGATTTGACTTGCATTTAGTTACAAAAGGCACGTCTTAGATGCACATTTAAAACGCGCGTTTGGTAAGTCGCATGTATGAATCGCACGGCTAAGTTGCACGTATAAAACGAGTGTTACAACGAGACGCACGGTTAAGTGGCATGTTTCTAATCTACTACTGAATGAAATTTAAACTATCATATCATGTCTCTCCTTCATTCCATTTTTTTTACCCCTAAAACTGTTATAATATTGTAGTTTCAGGTTCTCGTGCTCTTATAAGGACTGGTTCAACTATGTCATGCCTTGCAGACACATAGCCGCAGTGTGCTCCCACATTAGACGCACATTTAAGACGCGCGTTTGGTAAAGTCGCACGTATAAATCGCACGGCTAAGTCGCACGTATAAAACGAATGTTACGACAAGACGCACGGTTAAGTGCCATGTTTCTAATCTACTACTGAAGTTTAAACTATCTTATCATGTCTCTCCTTCATTCCACAATTTTTTATCCCTAAAACTGTTAAAATATTATAGTTTTAGGTTCTCGTGTTCTTGTAAGGACTAATTCAACTATGCCATGCCTTGCAGACGCATAGCCGCAGTGTGCTCCCACATAGGCTACCCGTCATTCGAAAAGTCATATATTTTCATGAACTTTGGAAGTTCAACATCGAGCAAACCCCTGAGGAAGCTGGCCCCATATCAACGTGGAAGGCTACGAATTCTGCGTAGTACAGGCTGACGAGGTGACATTTGATAACAATGCGGGACTGGACGATGACGCACCGCCTGGCTCGGCTAATGAAGGCACTGAGGATATGCACAGATCGGAGGCGCCTAAGAGTACAAAAGACACGGGAATGAAACAGACGAGTAGCAAGTATAGTACATACCCGACGAGAACTACACCGAGTTTCAGAAACTTTGCTCCGGTGTATACAGTGGTGCATATAGGAATGGACAGGTGAAGTTCCTCAAAGAACTGACAGAACTGTTGGGCCTAATGTTCCAGAAGCTTAATAATAATAAATACGGCTAGGATAAGTTGGCCGCGATGGGCAACGGATTGTTGAGATACTCTGCGCTACAAAGAGGTGAAGAGGGTCCTACTAGCAGTCTTTTTTATGACCCCAAGACCATACCGCGTCAGCATGGAGGACAACAAACCAAACGTTTGCATGCAGTGGAGCTAAAGCGGCAGACAAAGAAGCGGAAAGTGGAATCAGCCGCCGAACTTAATGCTTCGGATAAGCCACCCGCCAGAACCTAATACTCAGGATAAGCCAGCCGCCGATACGAGTGCGGATAGTGGCGTATTTAATCGAGCTATGTATAGTAAAGAACTCGCAGGAGACCCGACACTATTGTATACTACACATAACGACCAGGAGATACCTGCAGATGGCAAAAAGAAACTTGCTAAGGGAGAGTCATCTGCAGTTCACTCCTTTAGTGACAAGTCCGCTCCGCGTAACACCAACACCAACAGCTCATCTATCTTCTCCAGTAACGTACCGCTGTCAGCTACTGTGATAGACCCCGACCCATGTGATACCGCAGACTCCAGTAAGTGTAAGTCAAGGACACATATTCCAAGACATTACTCAGCCAACACAAGGTTCCCTAACGATACAAGTACGCGGTAACTGGCCGAAGGCACAAATTTGTGTTACTTGTGGAGAGGAGGGTCATCATGGTGGTAAATCGTGCAAATATATACAGAGAAGGGGGACTCTTCTAACGCTCACACAACGGAGATATTGGCAATATGAAGTCCATGGTTTCTCCCTAAACTTCCAATTATCACAAGTAGACTTTACAGACAGCCCCATGTCTAAACTAAAGGTTGCATGTGTGTGGTTATAGTGGGTTCTGATTCCACGGGTCAGAAGCTCATCTAAAACCTTGATGAGTTTAAGCACGAAGATCAGCGGTGTTGGGTGCTTGGTTACAGTATAAGACCAAGAATAATATTGTCATTAAACTTTAGTTAGTTCCATATGTACAATAGCTATTAATAATATAATAAAGTCTGTATAATATTATAATAATAAAACTGCAATTGTACGATGCAAGCATAAGACGCATGCATAAGACGCAGGTATAAGACGCATGCATAAGACGCATGCATACGACGCATGAACTAGACAACGCATACGCAAGACGTGTCAGAAGCTCATCTAAAACCTTGATGAGTTTAAGCACGAAGATCAGCGGTGTTGGGTGCTTGGTTACAGTATAAGACCAAGAATAATATTGTCATCAAACTTTAGTTAGTTCCATATGTACAATAGCTATTAATAATATAATAAAGTCTATATAATATTATAATAATAAAACTGCAATTGTACGATGCAAGCATAAGACGCATGCATAAGACGCACGCATGAGACGCATGCGAAAGACGCAAAAATTAAACGAATGCAAGAGACGTAAAAATTAGACGCATGCGAGAGACGCAAAAATTAAACGCATGTTAAACACGCAAAAGTTAGATGCAAAAATAAAACGCTTGCACAAGATGCATGCAAAAGACATGCAAAATACGCAAAAAAAAATGAGAGGCATGCATAAGACGCAAAAACAGGACGCGTGCAAAAAGACGCATGCATAAGACGCATGTATAAGATGCAAAACTAAGACGCTTATATAAGATGCAAAAGTTAAACAAGGTATGAGCAAAGGAAAAATCATGCATGCATCTGACTTCTGACATGAATGACGAAACCTATATTTTATTCATGTATCGTTCAATCCTATTCGCAGGCTACGCGACACTATTGTATTTTACACATAAAGACCTTCTCCCATATTTTTTGTTTCCGTTTTTGGCTACTAGCGACTATAGTACTTGCTAGGGAGCTATACTCGCGATCACCGGCCTTGTATTTTACATCCAACGGCCTTACATTCCCCAATTTCACATCCACAGCATGCCTTCCATTGCACAATTATTCATTTCACATCCACATGCCTTCCATTGCACAATTATTCATTTCACATCCACATGCCTTCCATTGCACAAATTTTCATTTCACATCCACATGCCTTCCGTTTCATATCCCTCGGCCTTTCATTCTCTAATTTGACATTTACATGCATTCCATTGCACAATTATTCATTTCACATCCACATGCCTTCCATTTTACATTCTGTGGCCTTCCGTTTCACATCCGTCGGCCTTCCATTCTCTAATTTCTCATACACATGCCTTTCATTGCATAATTACTCATTTCACATCCACATGCCTTCCATTTCACATTCTGTGGCCTTCCATTTCATATCCATCGGCCTTCCATTCTCTAATATCCCACCCAACGAACTTCTATTCTCCAATTTCACATCCAACGGACTTCCATATTTTACATTCTTTATTTCACATCCAACGGACTTCCATTGCACAATTCTCCATTTCCCATCCAACGGACTTCCATTGCACAATTCTTCGTTCCACGTACAACGGACTTCTATTGCAAAATTCCACAAGTTTTCCGTTTAAGTTGTTCTGTGAGTCTGTAAGTGCATAAAAGTAATGAATGTGAGTGAGACGGCGAATGACCACAACATATACAAACGGTATGATATATGAAAGGATACACAGCATACCTGTAGATCATAAGCTCTCCTTTCTTGCTTTCTCAATTGACAATTCTGAGAGTGGTGGAAAGATAAAAAACGACGATTATGAGTATAAAGTCATGAATATTAATAATGGTATTCGCATTATTGTTACAATACCACATACCTAATGTACATTATACTATAGCCTTCTAAATCAGACAAGCCTAACACCCTTGCCAAAAAAAACCCGGGACGGGGAAAAATTGGTTTCGGGATATTCTTGCGGGTCCTTTTTGCAGTATTGATATTACGAAGTTTCTAAGTTATGAACCAGAATATCGCACATAATAAGCTCCATACCACCATAAGCATATATGCATCGTGCTAGTGTGCGGCGTTTAGTAAGCGTGACTAGGTCGTTACAATGAACTGTGCAGTTGCGAGCTGCACAAACAGCAATGCAACTTATAGAACCTTAAGCATTCGAGTGGAATATATCCTAAATATGCAATGAAGAATAGTATAAAGGCATTAAGAGCTCGGAAGAAGATTGACACTCGAGACCAGCAACATAAAATCTAGAAATAAGCCTGCTTTATTATTTTTGAAGGTGATGGTGGTTCGCGTGATGCAGCAGCAGCAGCAGTAGAAGAAGCTTATTGGAAAGTTGAAAGACGTTTGTGTCAATTCACTTCCATCCTTCTGAAATAGTTGACGACGGGAACGGCAACATCTCTCCAATGGTTGGTGCATACCCCACTGGATTCCTGAAGTCGTTAGGCGGAAGACAGTGCGAGGAGGACAGGTTGCGTCAGCGGTGTTACTTGACCCAGAGACTTTGAAACTACTGGATTCTGTTTGGTTCGAAGACGGTACAAAAAAGCATAGATTGGTGGAGAACGATTCGATTGCACGAGCGCAACGACGCGTGCGAATAGATGCAAATAGGTGTGCAGTCAAACACTCGGTAGAAGTGCGTATGAATACTATTGGCGAGTTCGCAAATCTTAACCAGCAATCAATGCCCGTATTAAATAAAATATGGAGCGAGCCTGAGTATGAACATAAGTGCGTTAGCATTAGGCCTCAACTAAAAACGGCGCTGGGTAATGTGAATGTGAAATAGACAGTAAGTTTCACACAAGGTGTTTTTTTTTTTTTGGAGAGATCGATGTGCGTGTGCGTACACCAGTACACGTGGCTATCAAACAGGTCTCAAACTTTACTACAGGCGTCTATGTGGATTGTGTATCGTATGTGGAGAGCCGACTCGCAACTTTCAAAACATATGATGCAATAATAGCGCGTATGAATGATGTGATAAATCTTACTGAGGATTCCGTACTATGTAGTAGATCTGTGTAGACCGTGTGAAAGATAGAGGCAACTGTCTTTTAGAAACGGAAAACCAGAAGGAGCAAGGTGTGTTTTATCTGTATCAGGCAGAACTTATAGAAATGTTAGAAACTAGTCGTTTTAAACGACGTTATCCAGAAAATTCATTTGTGCTAGCCATGGCCCAGAATGTGAAGACTTGTGTACTTGGACAATACAACAATCTGAGAAAGAACTGTCGTCACATTTTATCCAGAGGTACGTACATTACTGTCACAACGTCATAGCAACGCACTTCCCGATGATTGTATATTTTCAGCTGGAGGTGGATGTAGCTGTAGTACCCATCATATTTGATGGAAGTAGCGTCAATAGAAAAGCTTTAAGACAGTTAACTCTGAAATATATATCCCCAGAGCCCGACGGTCATTCCTTACGTTTACCCCAGCAACAACTTCCAGTATCAATTGACAGGCCGGATGGAACTCGAATGTTTCCGACGTTTTGATTAATACACTTAATCAAGTGCATACGGAACAATATGATTCGAAAGAACCATGTTTTTAAGTATCCGAAGATAGAATTAGCAAACGGATTCGTACTTCCAGCCGGAGTATGTAATATCAAATTTGTCAGAATGCTTTACGAACAAAATAATGGGAAGTTGATATCTGAAGTAAGAATCAACGGGGTCACCGTATGGCCTTCCAATTTAGAACGACAGCAGGTGGCTCCTGCGATACTTCTTTTCTCCGAAGATATTACTCACGCCCTTATGCGGACATTCCCAGACGCTTCTGGAACATACACCTTTCTTAAGATGATTATTGACATGTAATCCAGCCTTTCCTCACAGTAAGTCTGAGTAAGGGACAGCGCAAAAGAAATGGACGTTGTGCACCTTTCGTCAGCCCTGATGATACTCGACTGGACGATGCCGAAGAAATAGCTAACTGGCTGCAGCACGACTGGTATGCAAATGCAGTGCATAGCCACCCGCAGGCAACCCAAAACAACTTTATCATTGATGATGATGACGATGATGATGAGGATTTAGACGATGCCGCTGAGGTATGTTGGTGAATAACATATTAAATGCATTTAGGTGTGGTATAATAGCAGAATTGTAAGTAATTTTGTATTTAAATACTGTCCTCTTAATACACAGGTTTCAGAACTAAATTTAATGTTGGGTTCACTTTTGGGTGTTAATACGGAAGCTGCAATGAATACGGATTTTGGCGATCAAAATGAAGACGATGATCCAAGCGGAACGCCATCAACAGCGGACAACTCAGCCAATGAGAGATCTACAACAACGGCAACAATATTAGCAATTCCAAACACTCAGAAAAAGAAAGTCAGAAGAAATGTAGTTCCTGATGGGCTTACCCCAGAGACTTTCTTTACATTTGCCCATACGATACGCGGACTGGATGAGTGTATTAGATAAGGATTCAACTTGTTCTTCCTCGGCGCCTCAATAACGACACAATAGAACTTGGTTTTGCTGTAGCACGTTCTATGGCAGGAGGCAATAGGGTTTAGGGTTTTCCTGCGTATGTGTTGGGTCAAAGAACATTGATCGTTCGTGCAGTGTATGAAATATGTATGAACGCTGATCATTTGCACAATAGGAAGATGCATAATTTTCTATTCAGCGTTTTAGAGAAACTAACACTTCAATTTGAAGATACATTTATGAGGCGCTTATTGTACCGTCAAAAATATCTACAACACTATGATGGTGCCAAGCTTGCATCACAGTCCTCGAAGAGTAGTACTCTTGCTTATATTGCCGGTTATGCTGTATTCAAATTTGTTGAGAATTCACGAATAGAATTTGACATATGTGTTAGAATCGGCAAGGGGATCGACGAACATGATAATTTATTCTTGGAATACCGTAGTGATTTGATAGATGCACTGTGTCGGAAGGGATTGTTCTACCCTACGCAAGGAACATTGCTTAAGGCGGGCATATTACTTGATATTGACGAATCTGCATGTGCGACGAATCAAATATTCTACGCGCCTGACAGCACTGTGTACTATATTTACAAATTGCAAATGCGTATAGCAGTGATTAGGCCGTTATTGAATTCTTTATACAATATAAGTTGCAATAATATGACGCTTCTTTTGAATCGAAGGACGGCGGCAATAATGATCACACTTATTATGGTTAAAACAAAACTAAAACAAGGTCTAACAGTTGTACGTACATCGTCAAATATGAGCACACCTACTGCATCAGCAACGGCATCTCCATCGCGCTTCTTCCTACAGCCTGAAAATAGTGGCAAGTGGTACACAGCAGGATGCAAGAATGTATTGCGAAGTGCTGGCGTGGTGCTCCAAGGTATTATCGACGAGCTTCGTAAACGGGTTTTGCTTCTAATCAGGTTACAGGAAAATAACTTAGGTGCTGCACTTGCATGCTCCAAACCCGATGGACCCAGATACTTAAACATGCTAAACCTGACAGTGGAGGGTACGTACACTACTATGCTAGAACGTCTAGGTCGTGCATTTATTGATCTCGACAGTTGCCGGGATAGCAGTGACTTAGTGCGTGCGGCGCTAACGACAGACGACGATGCATGAACTTCACCTATGCTTATCTAAGGTATTATGTAATAAAGTTATAATGTTATAGTGTATTTGCACCGAAGACAGGAGCATATGGTCGGGAGCTCTGGAGTTGGTCACGGAAGTCAAGCGCCAGTGCAGTGCGTGCTTGGCAGGACACCTGGAGGTAGACGTTCGTTATCCGTGGGACCACATTAAAGTAGATTATATCCCGATGCCTATATTCTCTAGTCGAAAGAACAAGTACATTCTCCACGTTCTCGATATTGCTTCCTGGTACTCGATCCTACGCGCCACACCTGATAAATCAAAGGAGACTACAGCACAGACGTTGATGGCAACTTTCGGACAACACGGGTTCCCCGGAAAATGCAGTCTGATATGGGTACTGAATTTGTCAACAGTGTAGTGTCGCTCATTGTTCGGGAGATTGGGACGATACACAAACTCTCACCGCCATACCGACCACAAGTACTAGGAGTCACGGAATGCCGGTACAAGGAGATTGTCCGATCAATTCGGATATGCTGTGAGGCTACGCCCCAAGCGTGGGATGAGCGACTACCAACAGCA